GAGAGAGAGAGAGAGAGAGAGAGAGAGAGAGAGAGAGAGAGAGAGAGAGAGAGAGAGAGAGAGAGAGAGAGAGAGATGGCAAGGGGCGTTTTGTGAATATGTACGCCGTGGCGTACAAATATTTTTCAAAATGTTTTTATCTGACACACATATACTATTCATCTATCGGAAAACTGTCACCCTCATGTGACTGATTCCTAAACGTTACCGCAGATGTTCAAGGAGCTGATTTCCTACCGAGCTCGTGCTTGCGCCAGTTGACCGCAACGAAATCGTCGGCGGACAGGGAAGGCGGATAACACCAACCGAATTCTTCGAAAGAGACTCCTTAAAGTTCGATTGGTACGCTGTCTGTGCTCAGCATACGGTCGAGGCCATGAAGACATTGGTAAAAAAGGGCTCTCCGGCAGTCGACGTCTATGGCCTTCGCGCGTACTCTAAGGTGCGGGTCGTCTATTTTGGAGATGACCAGACGCGAGGGTATTTCAATGTCTCCGCCTTCGACAACATGCGCGAAAATCGGGCCATGATGTTGTCGTTCGAGGGTGCTGCCCGTGATATGAGGCAATGGTGGATCGATAACCACCGAATCAAGGCCCCGAAAGGCAAGGTCAGCGATAAGGATGCGGTTGCCGTTGCGCACCAAAAGAAGTGGCAGAATTTCTTAAGGGCCTCCATGGGGAAGGCATGCGACAAGGCGTTCGTGAAACAAGCGCTCGAGAATGAGTGCAGTAAGGATTGGAGCAATAAACTCCATGGCCACATGAACCTCGCCACATCCACCGAGGCTGTGTGGCCACTGGTCAAGAAGTTCTTCGAGATGTTCCACGAAGGGAAACTGCCAGTTGGCGATGGTAAAATACCGCTTGACATGCCGGGTAGGATAGAGGGGCGCCAGCTAGGCCCGTACACCGACGAGACGAAGGGGCAAAGAACATTATACCATTGCATATACGCGAGAGATGGTCCCAAAGGCTCCACCGTGTCATGGAAGGATCTCAGTCCTTCCTACTTCAAAAATTTCGAGGATTTGACGTGCCGCGAGAGGGAAGTTGCACTGCTTCTCCTCATGAAAGGGAAGGTGGTCGCGACGAACGTCAAGGTCATGCTTCCGAGAGTGAATACGGAGTGCCTCCTCGACATCATGCGCAAGGAATGCTACATGGTCCGTATGTTCAACTACGTTGTTTTCCGCGCCGAGGGAAGGGCGGACGATGAATGGAATGATGCCTTCTTCATGTCATACAAGGACCTCGAAGACAGGTATGGGCCGAACGGTCTGTGTGCAGTTGAATGGGAGAAGGAACGGGACAAGCTGCATGTCAGCAAAGTGAAGACGGCAAACAACATTGTTATCGGTGTGCATGCCATTGAAGGAAGTGCTGACTGCGCCAGACGACATCGTCACTGCGGCGCAAAAAATGACCTGCAGGGCCGTCATCCTTGACATCTCCCCCGCCAACTTCTGCACGACATGGACCTCTCAAGAGTTCGATGCTCTGCACTCTATGATGACTAAGTGTTGTGGCGTTAATTGGGTTCTTTTTGTCTTTGCACCGCAGAAGGTGCAAAGTGATGTTCTGCGTTGCTTATTCCGGTGGGAGGACATTGAACTCATCCTCGGGACCTGGAAACGGGTGGACAGGCCATCGAATGACATCACGAGGTATGGCAATATCGCTACGGCGAGTCGAAACATGATGGCCATTGTCCTGCACGCGGAGGGAGGGGATCTCAGAAAGGTCACGGTCGCACCCCACCTTCTCAATGACCTCACAAATGTGCATGTTGTGGAGGAGAAGTTCGGGAAGTGTCTGGGGAAACACGGTGGCATAGAAGGCGATGAAAGTGTGGTGTATTCCATCTGGGAGCGAGAGCCTGCCAAGTTGCGTTCGTTGTGCGGGTCATTCGTCGGGGAGGCGGAAGGTGTGTTTTTGTTGGGTAGGGCGCACGCGGGTCTTGTGTGGAAATTCTTACTGGCAGGGAATAATGTCATTGCCTGTGACGAGTCGGCAAAGGACATTGCATACTTGACAAAGTTCATCGATATACTTGTCAAGGACGACAGATTCAACTGCCATATCGAGAAGCCGTGTTGCAAACATCGCCCGAACAGGGACATGTTCCACAAGTTGGGGCCTAAGAGACTGAAGGTGTGGGAGTACTTGTTCCGTGATATGCCACAAGGACGGCTTGACGGGAAATATATATACAGGAAAGCAAAGGCAACAGAGACCCTCAAACATTATCACGCTGCTCTCACTGGCGCCTTTGAGACTTCTGTTGCTCGTTGCGACATCCTCAAGTTCGATCTTCGCAAAGACCAATTGATGTCCAAGGACTACGAGGAGCTCGCGAAATCAGGCGATGGCTTTAACCCCGTCGACAGTGAGGAAGATTCTTCGGACTCTGACCTCGATCTGGGCGAGGACACATGTGCTGAGGTTCCGCGCGGTGGAATGGTGCAAGCTTACGATGACGGAAATATCCATTCGCACGAAGGGTCCATCCCGGTGGCCGCCCCGAGCGTCGCCTCGATGGTGGCCCCGTCGGAGACTGCTGCATCGCAAGACATTGGAAGATGCGGTGACAATGAAGAAGATGACATTGAGATACCAGGCGAGGCGTCGACGCTCGCACCAGGCGATGCAATTCCTCCAGGCTATTGTGCTGACCTGAACACGATTTATTTCTTGGAGGGCAAACACACCCACACAGGCGAGAATCAGTGGGGCCATGACATCATATGGCACGAGGGCGTTTTACAGCCGTGCATCCAAGATGGGGAGTGGAAGATGGCAGTGAAATACACAAGCGGTTGGAAGACTGGTTGAAAACGACGGAGCTCGTGATCCTACATCGCGTGCGCGTTGAGAATCCAGGGCAGAGCGAGGCCACCATCAAAGCCAAGGCCGAAGAATTGTTTCATGTCTTGCGCGGCAATCGACAACTGGAGTACAGCAACAAATTTTATGCCCTGCGCTCGAGTCCCTCACGCGGGTCAATCAACTGGAAGGTTGGTCAAACCGCCAGAACCTTGGAGGGGAGCTGCTCTCATGATTTCATGCCTTCGTCTGAGCCGGCCTCCGTGCCCGCGCAAGCAGGGCACAGGGGAGATGACGGGACTACTGTTGTCGGGCCTCAAGAGGCTGACATGACGTCAATGCCGCAAATATCGAAAAAATCAATCTCGGTCGCCGCGACACAATCGTACCCACCCATCGATGTGTCAACGACGTTACCGCCGGATGCGGGTGCCACGTACGGGAGTTTATTGATAACAAATGCTGCAATGGAAGGCAGATCCGAGATCGAGTCAGAGTCTGATGTTGGGCCGAGCGTGGCGGAGAGTCAGTTGCAATCGTCTTTATGCACTAGCAAAGGTGATGCACAATCACTGCTGACACCACAGGGAGGGGCTGGTGGGAATGGCGGGAAGGGAGGGGATGTGGAGGGAATGCACTGTTCTCGCAACCTCGACACCTTAACCGCTGATATTGATTAAAAGGGTGAGGGTGAGTGAGGCGGGAGGGGTGCAATTGGAGGGGGAGAATCCAGTGATATGATTACAACTTCACCTCTGCATTGTTGAACGAAATCGTGTAATTGACTCGGTTCGTTGTTTTGTTTAAAACAGAATTCATATTAGTCTCCGTAGGCACCACTTCTACATCGTTTTTCCATTTATGTATATTTTTTTTTTCACCTCAAATTTTTAATCGACCTGAGATATTTAGATTGACTGCCCGTTTCGACGTGCAGTAAAAAATCGTGGTGGGAGTGTATGTGTGGTATTGTACATCTCTCTCTCTCTCTCTCTCTCTCTCTCTCTCTCTCTCTCTCTCTCTCTCTCTCTCTCTCTCTCTCTCTCTCCCTCTCTCTCTCTCTCTCTCTCTCTCTCTCTCTCTCTCTCTCTCTCTCTCTCTCTCTCTCTCTCTCTCTCTCTCTCTCTCTCTCTCGCTCGCTCGCTCGCTCGTTGCGACATGGACGCGTGTGTGCGAACGTACTATATAAGGGTGGTCGATCGATGCGAGGAATGAATGACTGCATATGTGAATGATGTTCATACAAGTAAAATATTAGAGAAATAATGAAAACATGCCTTGCATGCATCAGCTCTCACAAAGTGTTTGGCCATGCACTCACAATACTTGCTCCGTCCGCCCGCGTGAATGTCTCTTCCCTCATCGTCTGTGGTGTGCAGTACAAATGACAACAACGGATACAAGATTGTGCAAAAGAGGATGAACAATGCATCTCGCAACTTCGTCTTTATCGGAGAGGGAGATGGCAGCACTACCGCATATCATTCGCGAATACGGGAATAGGTATCCCGTTGTCAACACACAAGATGCGCACAATAACGAAGTGTTGCAACTCACTCGCAGCGATTTCCTTTTAGTCGTCGTCGAACAACAGTGGTTAAACGACAATGTGATCAACTTTTATCTCAACCTCGTAGCATTAGACAACTGTTGTAGAATACAGCACATAGAATGCGACGCAGAGAATGAGATAGTCATTAGAGAAGGAAACGGTCACATTCCCAGAGTATCAGTGCTGAGCTCGTTGTTTTTCGTCAAACTTTTCGATAATGACATGATATATAGAGGACGAGAGGTAGAACGCTGGTACCAGGATGTAATTATAAGTGACATGGATTTTGATTATTGCTCCTTTCCATATCGCACACCAGGACCACTGGACCTTAGTCGTGGCTGACTTAAGGAGGAGGAAATTCGAATTGTACGACCCTCTCGACCCCGACAAGGAGTTCGCGTTAAAAGTGACCGGCGGGTTTGCAAAGTTTTTATTCGAAAGATCGAAATCGCAAGGCAAAGAGGTGGACACGAGACCATTCAATCACATATGGAATGTAGAGGGCATTCCAAAGCAACATGACACGAACGAATGTGGGGTCTTTGTACTCACGTACGCGTCACTTTTGGCACGGGGCCACCTTCCGCCTTTCTGTTTCACCGCAGATGACATACCCAAGATACGTCGTCGGATGGCATTGGACACAGTGGCTCGTGAGTAGTGTGTACGTGATATTCTATAGTATGATTGCGAAGGGGGCGAACGTGGTTGGCACGAGATGGCGCTTGACAAAAAACAATGTATATAAGGTGTTAATTATTCCTCGGTGCACTGTGTCACTTGCCCCTTGCATGGTAGCTTACACCTTACACCTTACCCCATACACCTTACACCTTACCCCCCTACACCTTACACCTTACCCCTTACACCTTACCCCTTATACCTCACCCCGAATACCTTACCCCTTACCCCTCACACCAAAACGCCCATTTGTAATGGTTTTTGCACTTCAATCATCTCAAAAATGACAATTTCAATTTCGTTCAAAAAATATAAAATGTCCGTTTTGACGAAATCGGTGTTATGGGTGAAGACCTGTTATACACTGCCACACATGTATGGTACACGTCTGCTACACTACGGTACATATATGGTATACGGACGAAGACCTATGATACACCGCCATGTCAGTATGAGACAAGGCCGAAGATATATGTTACAATGTTACACATGTATGCTACACGTATGGTACACGGATGAAGACCTATGACACACTGTGGTCCCCATGTCAAACACATGTCAGACACTGGAGTCCGCATGTCAAACACAGCAAAGTGAAAGGAACCGTGACTGGCCGCATGTTAAACACACTGTGGTCCCCATGTCAAACACATGTCAGACACTGCAGTCCGCGTGTCAAACACAGCAAATTGAAAGGAACCATGACTGGTCGAAAATCACAGCATTCCACATGTCAAACACATCAATGTCATGGCATCCGCTGGGCGGCGCCTCGAAACTCCTCCGTGTCCTGGGAGCAGGTCGTCGTTGCCGTGCCATGGTTCCTGCTCGAGAACTGGACGGTCGTCGGGCGACTGGCATAATTTGCGCGGGCCTGTTGAGATTCTCGAACAAGGTCGGCGATGACTTTCCCCCCGTATTCCATCTTCTGGGCAATAAGCTCTGCACAATCTCGTTGCCCGGCGCACCACCTGCCGGGGGTGGCTGCCACTCCTCGAATCTGGTGTCCGGGAGTCTTCACAATCACGTGGATGCACAGAAGGGTCGTCCCAAAAGAAGACCTCCACCAGGTCAAACCATTCCTTCCAAAGGACGAAATTGAACCCCTTCTCCATAGCTGCGGTCATCCTCCAGTAGCTCTAAACCCCGCTTCCTCTGTGAAGGGCTGTAACTTGTCTGTACGTGGACCAAGTGGTCTGCCACCTGGTCCTGCATTCGAGCCACGTGTGTGCGAACCCTCCAGCGGTCAACGCACTCGCAATCTCCTCCTATGTTTTCTTCGACGTCCGACCGTTTCCCATATCCTCCGAATTCACGACACGTGCGACGTGTCGGTCGCCTTTGGCACGTATTAGTGCCATGTTGTCAAGGTGGGCCCACGATCCTCGTGGGTGGGCCCGTGCCGTGCCCTGGGAACCACCATCTCCCAATCGAGTGATCTCACCTTGCGACGATTGCGGTTTGTCGCTGCCATAACATCCCTCCAGCGTGCAATGGACATCTACCGGTTCTCCACCATCTTCCGACCATGACCCTGCAGCATTGGCAGCGCAAGCGCCGGTGGCATCACAGTCTCCGTTCGCCTGGTGCACCCGAACCGTGTCTCTAGACAGCGTCTCGTCTGCGCACTGCACGTCGACATGCATATACATATCCACATTACAAGCGGGCTCGCCGCTTGATCCGTTATCCGCCATCCCTGCACAAGCATCTACAGACGGCGCTTGAGACTGAAATGCAGTCCACTGCATATCAACCGCTGTGCCTTGGCTGCCTGCCAATGTGTCCTTCCCTGCTGACCCCGCTCCGGCTTTTGAACCTCCTCCAAACACACGCTGATTGCCTGCATCGTCACCGCCCCCCCCACTGGACCTACCCCCCTCGTCACCGAGGTCGACGGTCACCGTGTCCGTCACACGGACGACCGCACCGCCGCAGCTGGCAGTGTCCTCTGCACTTGTGTCATGTGCATTGTTCGACAGAGTATTGCAGGGATTAAATGTAGCAAAGGCTCCATCTTTTCCGAAAGCCGCGTTGTCAGTGTGCGGAAACGCCGTCCCTGCACACCCCGGCCGTTCTACAGCCGTTGCGAACCCAAGGGGTGTCGTGAAAGGTGGCGTGGAACACCCGTCCACATAGGAGTGAAGGAGGGCACCACATTTGATAGAAGGAGAAGGCATGAATATAGGCCCGCAAGATGTGGTCAACCCTTTGCCACGTCCTGACCACGGGGATACCAGCGGTCCCACTGGCGAGGGACGCCGCTCTGCCGCCCCATGCCACACGTATGGTGTGCTTACGGTCTGTCCATATCCTACCCCCGATTTCCTCCAGCCGGCACCTCCTGTTGTGTCTGTTCGGCTGTTCACAGCAGCGCGCCTCGGTAGCAAAGAAGCCGTCCTACCACCAGTGGATCTAAGAAAAGCAGTCGGTGAACCGCCACCAACACCTCCTCTGCTATGTCCGGTGATAGGAGACTGCGTAACAGGCAGTCCGTCTGCTTCCATTGCCCTTGCCATCAACTGCTGGCGAAGAAGGTCGATGGACTCAGTGGATGAATCCGTCAGTTCGAAAAAAGGCAGGGGCTGCATGAACAACTCAGCAGAAGTGGTGGGTGTCATTGTCGTCCGTTCTTGACGGTCAGATGTCATACGCAGCCCCTGCCCCCAGCTGGAATCAATACTGCTTTCCATTGTCGGCGACGGGAAAATGTGTGCAGGGACACTTGCAAAAGGACTGCGCGGAGAGAGGAAAAGAGACAATGCTCTTAAGACCCGCAACTATCTACTGTTAAGTGCGTTCCTAAACCGTAAAGGCAAGGGCATCGGACCGTAGATATGCAACACAGAAAAGGACGTGGAATGCTATACAAGGCACCACCAAGCAGGCAGTCGAAAACCTGAATCAGCAAGCGGTGTGGTCCCAAAGTTGCACAAAAAGGAAAGCTGACGCACAACAAGACAAGCAGGACTTCGAACATTAGAGGACCTCTTCACTGCCACGCTGTTGCTAAGGACGAATCAGCGGTGCATCAAGGCAAGACAAGCACGACTAATGTAAGGTAAAAGTAAGCGGGAGCAAAGAAGCCTGTGGGCAAAGCAACGGTAAAGGTAAAGTAAAAAACGACCATGTATTGCGTATCCGAGTGGCATACAAAGCGAGCACGACAGGACCCACATGTATATCCGCAACTAACAATGCAGTGGAAACAGCGAACGTACTATGTTTTTTTGTGCCATATGCCAAGGTACTTACGTCCAACAACACCCAACGAGGGCAAAGGAAAAAGAAAAGTATGACTGGAGTGTAGGGAAAGAAAGCAAGAAAAAAAAAAAGAAAAAAAAGAAAAAAAAAACATATTCCGAAGTTGCGAAGCTGTCAACGCTACGACGATCGGCAGGTGCGAAGCTTTGGTGGAGACAGTGTCACTGGAAAGGCGACAAACATGAATCACAGGAACGAAAAAGATAGGAATTATGTGGCAAGATCTACACACAAACATATACAGATGGTCAAGACTTCATGGCCAAAAAAGTGGAAAGTTCGACAGACGCGACTGGGATGCAGTCCACAAATGGTGAACTGCGGATAAAGGACATAGGAAAGGAGCGAACTACCATGTCTGAGCAGCACGTAACAACCATAGAAAGAAAGGTGAGGTAAAAAACATCAATGGCGCAAACAGATGGTTACAATCGTAGAAGGAAAGGTGGCACTGCCCGCCCGCCTGCCCGCCCGCCCGCCCGAACTGAACTGCCAGCCGTCTCCGCTACGGAATGTCGCTACGGAATGTTCCGCACCTGACCTCCGAAGCACCGCACGTCCCGCCAGGGAGCATAACACAAACCGATTGCTACACATATGCCGGCAAACGTAACAACGGTATGTACAGAACGCCCCGACACACTGGCCCTTACGAGGAAACATCCCCAACGAGGCAAAGCGGGTTACCCATAGGCCCTTACGCTACACGGAAAATAGTGGTTACCCACGGCTCCCCCCCCCCCTCCCTCCCCCCTCCTACTGGCCATTAATGCCACCTTAAAACCTAACAACATGCCCTCCCTCCGTGCCTGGGGGCCATGTACCAGAAAACAAAAAAATAGAATGGCTACTGAATCTGGCCAAGATGTCGCATCAAATTCGGTCGCTATTCAAAGGTTTCTACCTATCGAAGCAAGGCCATGCGGATTTCCGACAAAACAGCGTGCATGGCGGTCTCGCTCCACTACTCTCGAGATGTGCAAAACGAGAGTGAATCTACCGCTAGAACACGGAAAGATACACCACCATGATTTCTGTCCTTTACGGCCTTCGAACACTACGGAAAACCCACATGCAGAAAGAGCATTCCGATGGGAATGGACCTTTCCATGTTCCAGCGGTGGATTCAGTCTCATTCATGACATTTCGAGAGTGGTGCATGGAGGCCCTCGGGGCACTCCGCAATACCCGCACATTGGCCATACACAGCACACCAGCGGAATCGTCATAACATCAACGACCTGACAGCTGACACCCCACCCGCCCGCAGTTCGCAGTGGGTGGACAACATTGCACGATTTTCTGAAAGTTTTATTTACACGGAAAGGATGCCACCCACCTGTCCCCCACCCGTCCCACACCCGTCACACTACTCCACATACCTGGCTAGTGTTACATCTTCGATGCCACACGGGTCCTACCGGACCCGACTTAGGGCCGGAGGGACACACCAGGGCCTAAAGGCCCGACCTTGAGGGTCACAGGCCCTAAAGGCCTGATTTTGCACTCAGCCCAGTGGGTAGGCCCAAACGACAGTTTGTTTGGGCCTGGCGGCTCTCTTGAGGCT